CCACCTCGGCCGTCGTCCGCCTTCGAATGGACCCCCTGAGGCGAAACCCCCCGCCGCCGACACCCCGCGCGGGACGACCGGAACGGACACCCATCGCCTCCGCGCCCCCCCGCGGGCCGTCCCCAACGGCGTCGTAGGGGCCTCGGAGGGCGAAAAGACCCCCGGAAACCGGCCGAGCCCGCGGCTGCGCAGTCAACCCCGCGGCACGAATCAACCGGATCGTGGCCGTGACCCCAACGCCAAGGCCAGGCCCATCTTCCCCGGACGCCCCTCGTCCCGTTCCACGACCCGTCACTGAGGAGGATGGGGGAGGGGTGGGGATGGGACTCTTTATGGGAACGGAGTCACACGATCCATCGGCGTGGTTGTGACATCGTGTCGTGTGCCTTGTAGACACATGTGGGGGCTGTCAGGTAATGGGGTGAGGACCAGGCCCAACATGAGTGAGTGTATGTGTGGACATTGGAAGATCAATTTAAAGCATTCCACAATGCGGTTTGTTATATAGCAATGTAACTTACAAAATACAATTCAAAAGAAAAGTTAGAGGGGGGGGAGAGAAAGGGAATGGGAATGGGATGCTGCCGTACGTAGGTGTTTGCATCTACATTCACATCTACCTACGCACTACATGTAATTGTACTCATACAGCCCAATAGGCTTGGTTGAAAAACGTCAGAGGGGATGCAATAATGATGATAGATGCGCATTAGAAAGTGGCTGTGACGACAGGAGCAACTTCGTTCTGAGTTAAAAAACGTACATACTTGTACATATACATATATATATATATATATATGTATGTACAAGTGAGGTAAGAGGAATACGCGGTGCGAAGCTAGGAAAGTGTATTGAGGTTAAATTGGTAGAAATAGAAGAAATACGATAGGAAGGTTTGCTTTTTTTCCCCTAAGCTTCTTTATTGTGATTTCTCAATAGCCTAACGAGTGTTGTGCCTATCTGACCACCTCATAGTTGTACAACTTATTTTGTTTTATTTTCTCCTTTCCAACCTTTTCACGTCGTTGCTAAAGAGTGCATGTAATTGTCAAAGGGCGCAGCCACATATCGCTCGTGGTTTCAGGCGCACCTATTATGTGGAAGGTAAGAAAGTAAAGGATAAATAATAGTATGTTGTATACTCCTCTCTGGTTTAGTGGAAATATGCTTAACATCACTCACAGCCTCTGACTTTATACAGTGTTATCTATTTTTATTATTGATACCTATTTGTTTGTTTCTATGGATTTCATGCGCAGAGTCCTTTATATTTCTTTTTCCCTATGGTGGTCATCACTTAGTGATGGGGTCGAAATTGATTTAAATTATTACAACACCTTCAAGGATCTACATTGCGTGTGTTTTTTATCATCTTGCTATTAGCTATATGCACAAATATTCATTCAATCCCAGTGTTACTACTTTAGGAAGGGTTTGGTATCGTATTCTTTAGTACGTCTGTGTGTATTTTTATGGATGAGTATAGATTTTTTACCCTACATCGAAAAAGGACGAAATAGTGGTATAATTTTTCTCAATTTTTAATGCATTTTACACATGCATATATATAAATATATACGCAGAAGGACGATGCCTTGATGAGACAGTTTTCATTAATTGTAAACAATTCAGTTGCATATAAGCTTTGCTAAGCCATTTTCAAGATTCGTATTCAAGATTAACATTCCTTTGTTTTTTTGTTATTCTTATCTTTCTTTATGTATTCATAGACACTTGAGCAGTTCCCTTTTTCGATGTTTTAGATAGTTTTCGTACCACCTTAGCACAGAATGGATGAGCGCACGGCAGGCCAAGGAATGCTTTTCACGCGGCAAAAATCTAGGCCTAAGGTAGCGGTTGGAGAGTTAGAGGGCTGGATGCGATTTCAAAAACGACTTGAAGGGAACGAGCTTGTTCAGTAACTGGGTATCACTTCCTAAGGGGCCTGTTGATTATGTGTCGTGAGGGAGATTGGAGTGATACCTCTAGAATGATTACGATGCTTAATATGAATAATCAACGTCCGCAGTATATCTCTGCATGCCTTCCCGTTATCAGCGGAGGCATGTAGGCTTGGTTGCCGGTACTAATAGGGCATTCGACAGGGCCTCCACAGAGGCTGTCCGACTGGATGAAACACACCAACTAAACACCGTTAGCAAAAAAAAAAATGGTCAACATTGCTTAACGGACATACTCTTGTCAGTTACAATGTTACTGTAGATTACAGGTGAGGGAAGGTGTAAAATTTATGTTTTGTGTCGGTTGTTCTTTGAAAAGCTTCTCCACTACCTTTATTGTCTCTTTGTTATCATGAATGCAAACGCGACGTGGCGTCTGATCCATCGAAAATGGTTGTTAATGTATCAATATTCCGCTCTTTTTCTTGTCGTTTGCATTACACACGCAAAGGAGTCTTTAGTTTTTTAAATAGTTTTTAAACATTTAATACACACAGTACAATTCATCCTTCTCCTATAAATCAAATAACCAAGGCGAATTTTACAGGAAAAAAATAAGACTTGCTTATTTTAATTACTCTTCATTTTTAAGTCATCTATTGAAGAACTTTTACACAAAATAAAGCTTAGTAGAGAAAAGTTTTATTTTTTCAGGACTTCTTTATTTTAGATAATTATTAAAACCAAATATAACATAGCAAACTTTCTTGTGCTATCATATTGGATAATTTACTTTTTTGTTATTTATATTTCTTTTTAAGAGGGACTTGTATGAGCTTAGACTAACCGTGCAAGTATCTCTCATATCAAACTGTTCAATATATATATATACATATCTATCGACCTACTCAGTAAGTCCTTTTGTATTAATAAGGAAAAATAACTCATTTTGGACGTTAGACAGTTTCATATCTTAGGCTCATTTTTTTTACCTCACTTGCTTTTATTTTTCAGGGTTTCATTATTACGCGGATTGGGGGTATATCATACTTTGGGGCAAGGTGACATTCTTTGAGCGTACATTCTCACAAACGTGCGTGAACACGTCTCAAAATTACACGAAAAAAATAGATACGATATTCAAACATCCATTTTAAGTTTGAGTGTAGGTTAGGGTGCTAATCAACAGTTGGAGCCCATGAACGAAACCAAAAAGGTGGTGGAGAGGAGATGGAATGATCTATCACGACTACAGCTCGAGTTGCCTGAAAAGACTGACAAAAAAAACACCAAAGACCCCTGTGAGTGCAAAGGGTTCGTCAACGGTACCGTGAGTGATTTCGACGGTAAACAGCTCAACATGAGGAGCTTCCAATCCACGAAGTCCTACCTCGTGTTGCAGGAGATAACTAAAAACGACGCGACGCTCATTCCACCAAAGCTTCTGGATTATCTTGTGGGCATGTCAAGCACTTATACCTGCACCCCTTTGGGCTGTACGATGCGAGAGAGCACTGACTACCTCATCCGCGAGCTCTTCCGCCGCCTCCAAACTGGCCAAGTGTGGGTCGCCCTGAAGGTGTTCTATGTGTTCTATCAGCTCCTGTGGAGGGGTTCACGGAGTCTGATTGAAAGCGCGTATGCGCTGGATATACCATTCCTTAGTATCGACGCTATTGTGAAACGGATCAAAATAACACCACAGGAGAATATATCTGGGGCACCACTCCCGTGCACGCTCCCGTGCGTCGTGGGAGGTGACAATCGACCTCCTCATAGAAATGTTCCACAACACAGTGGCGTGATGGCGGAGTCCATGCAAAACGCTACAAATACATGTAAAGCAACAACCCGTCGGGCATCTGGTAGCTCCATGAACTGTTTATCTCCCCAATGTAGTAAGTATTCATATCCCGGAAATGCCAACGCTTGCAAGGAGCAAACCACCTGGCTTTACTGCACAAATGAGGAATATTTGAGCAGCTGCGTGTCACCTGAATTCACGTACAACTGCCTTGGGTACATCGGTGCGCTGTGTGAGTACTGCTACCAGCATCCCGAAGTGGATCTCGCGAATAGCCGCTTGCTTTCAACTTTCGCGACTAATGCCGGCATCCCTGAGTTGAAGGAGTTGTGCGAGGATACCTTGGAGCTGCTCCAGAGCACTGCAACGCTTGTCGTGGACGTTCCCGTTGGCTGCGACCTGGTCATTTCGATGCTTCACACGCGGCTGAGCGATGCGCGTGTGCTTTACTCCATCTTTTGCCATGCCTTGGCGATGTTCCTCGACGCATCTATTTCCAAAGTGATCCAAGTCTTCAACGAGTACAACATGGGGTTAGATATCTCGCAGCTCACCCACGCCTCTGAGGAAGGGGAGCTGCGTAAATACATGAATAGTTTCAGGACGAACGGCAACATCGCCGGTACCAGCATGAGCTCACTCTCAAGTAACACTAAGTGTACATGTTCGCTAGAGTTTATGTACGCATGGATGTGTAACTCGACACTCCTTAAGGATTGGTATAACATTCTCCACCAGCTCGATCGCACCGTCCGAATGCTACAGAACGTCTGTGAGGCCGTGAAAGCGGATAGCGGTGAGGCGCTTGCACTCGCAAACTACACGACTCGCATCCCAAAGGAGCTGTTGGCGCGGATGAGTGTGTTGGTTCGGATGACGCGCGAGGAATTGCCCTGCAAGAATGATGACGAGGGTGAACTTACGTCGATGACAGATACGTCAGATCCGAGTTCCGTGGTCGTGCGGACGGGTTCCGATCCCCCTTCCACGGCGGCCGAACCTCGGGGCGTTGTTGGTGCGCCCTCTGGAGCTGCCGCGCCGTCTGGATCGGTTGTAGGGGTGCCAAGCTTATCTGGTGGTACCGACTTCAAAATCTTGAAGGAACGTCTTTCCTACGCGAAGACCACCTGGACGATACAGATGAAGTGTCTTCGGGGGCTCTTCAAGGCGGATAGCAGCGCCACACCGCTCCTGAACACCATTGAAAAGAAGCTTGCCATCTATATTGACTCGTTGGATGCAGTGTGCACGAAGCGATACAAGACCGCCCTCTCATCGGGATCGAGCATGGGACGACGCCTGTTGTCCGGGACAGCGGGTCTTACCGAGAATGGAACGGATAAGCTCGGCTCCATCTCCACCCCTTTATTCAGCCTTGGGGATTTGCGATGGCCGAAACAGAGCGACGAGACGTCGCACGCCAACTCCCTCGCCACGCGGCGGGTTTCGCTGGAGGATCCGCTGACCAGTCGCGCCGCTGGCTTCTCCCCCCACGCCGACCTCGGCCGCCACGGCGAGGAGTCCTCTGGTATCTTCTTGGCTTCCTTTGAGGACCACGGCGCGAACAAAGGGGATGCGTCGCTGGCGAACAGCAGTCAGGAGGGGACCCCTCATGAACGCGAGTCCGTCGGGACCGCGCATCTTCAACCTTCTCGCGCCTATCGCTTTCACAGCCGTGGCTCGGAGCCCACCATGTCCTCGGTGCAGACCTTTGTAGAAAATGACGGGACGGATGCGGAGAGCTGCTCGATGGAGGTCGAGGTGACGCCCTTGACGGAGGACATGACGTGCACGAACGCGTCGATCCAAAGCCTTCTCGAGAAGGACGACGTCGTCGTGGTGTGCAACGAGCCGCTGTCGACGAGGGACGACGGGAATATGGCGGAGCGCTTCCACATCATCCGCGCCCACGCGCCGATCGGGGAAGGGAGCTACAGCAGCGTCTACCGCGCCTGGGATGAGCTGATGGGGCGCTACCTCGCCGCGAAGGAAGTGGCGCTGGACGCGAAGCGGCTCCCCGCGGTGGTGCGCGGGGTCCTGAAGGAGTACATGGTCCTCACCAGCCTTCGCCACCCCAACATCGTCCACGTCGTCGCCTTCATGATCGACGGCCATTCCTGCAAGATTTTCATGGAGTGGATGCCATCCGGCTCGTTGCGGGATGTGCTCCGGGATAGCCGCTCCGGCGCCCTCCGCGAGAGCGTCGTCAGCCGCTACGTCCGGGATACGCTGCTCGGGCTCGGCTTCCTGCACAGCCGCGGCGTCCTGCACCGTGATGTGAAGCCCGCAAACATGCTGCTGGGGACGGAGGGCTCCGTGAAGCTGACGGACTTCGGGACGAGCGTGCTGCTGTCGGAGAACGAGCACACGCTGGAGTCGGGGGTGATCATGGGGACGGCGCCGTACATGGCGCCGGAGGTCGTCCGTGGCGTATACTCCGCCGCGAGCGACGTGTGGTCGCTGGGGTGCACCGCGCTGGAGCTCGCGACCGGGCACGTCCCATGGGAGGATCTCGGGACGGGCATCCGGTTGAACCCCGTTCAGTTGATCTACAAAATCGGCAAGCTGAGCGAGAACGACAAGCCAGATCTGCCGCATTCCTACTTACGCGCCGCACGGACGGAGCATGCTGATGGCGCCGGAGCGGAGTCCGACTCACGGCAAAAGCCGGTGCCGGTGGTATCCGAGGACTTTCTCAGCTTCCTGGATCAGATATTCGTCCTCGATCGTCACGCGCGAGCGACGGCCGCGGAACTGCTGGAGCATCCGTTTATCACCAAACATCACGAGGAGTGGAAGCTTCGGCAAGTAGAACTGGAGGCGGTGGCGAACCGCCCGAATAGCGAAATGCATTCTAAAAAGGAGGAAAGGACCCAGTGAGGATGTCCAGTTATTTCATGTTAAGAGGATCAACTCAGATGTGTAGCGGCAGCGCATGTCCTGAATGCGGTATAAGTCTTTCGATTGCCCTTTTATGCCATACACGGTGTGCATGTGAATTTGGAGGAGCTGGGATCATCTTTTCGTTCATGTTTGAGTAGCCGGAACGTGTAACGGGTGGTGAGAAGGGAGTAATATACCTTAGTGCTCGAGTGTTGAATCGATCTCGAGGATACATGTGTAGGTATATATCTATCAATATATATGCATGTATACATGATATTTGTCGTTTTCCGTGTTTGTTTACTGCAGATTTTCTTTCGTGTGACTCAAGATTTGTAGTGAGTTGTGTGCAAGGAAACGTTTGCACATGTGCATACTAGACTATATCAGTGCACCGTATCCATATGTTCACATAGTGGTTTGGTAGGCCACAAGCAATATCCATGACAATCTGTTATCGGTATGTTGATTCTCTAATGATGATATCTGATAAGTGAATTGAATAAGTAAATAAGCATGGAGATGTTTAAAAAATTAGCGAGTACAAGGTACTCTAGCGATTAGCGTGATCGTGAAGGGGACAAAAAAGCTATGAATTCTAGGGTGTAGAAGGAAGATGAAAGATAAAATTCAGCCACGCAAACCCAAAGCGCTAATTGCTCAGCTTTTCTATTATCACCGGTTAAGTTTTTATTTGCTCACCGTTGCCATATATAGATTTACTTTTATTGTTACCTAACATTAGCCTTGCTTTGTTTTTGGCATAACTGTTGAGTCTGCAGGTTTACCCTTCTTTTTGTTATAATTAAGCAAAAATATCCATCCACATCATTGGATATATGCATAAATTCGGCAATATATGCATGGCTACATGATTTTTTTTGTTATGTTCTATTCAACTTATATTGTAGTGACGTGTATGTTTTTTTTTACCATCTTAAAGGATGTTCAAATCTTTTTATTTTGGAAAATCGGGTTATTGAGAATAATAATACTCTAAACCTGCGTAAATAATGTGAAATGTTGTAATCGTTTGGCTTCACGTTAGCTTATTTTTCCTACGTGTAGTATTTTGTATGAACCTGTCAATATATCGTAACCTGCCTCATCCTCTCAAGAGGTCTGTGCCAAAGGGATGTGTGTGTGTGTGTGTGAACAGCAAGGAAAATAATGCTTTCACACATTTGTGTGTCTTTCTTATTGACTTATATGTCTAACCTCTGGGGTATCACAGACCGAATCAAATATGCATTGGGGGTCTACGAGGCTTGGTTTACAGCTGATTGTCTAATACGCATAGGTAAATGTATATGGAATCTCCTTGTTAAGTTTTCATTCTTGTTGGGCAACTTTTCTTTTCTAGGTCATAAAAAAGGGCCAATACACACATCGCACGCGTTATCCCACACACGTGAAAGGCTTGGTTTGTTGGTTTGCCTAATTATACACTTTGGCGATCGGCGGAAACCCTGCGTGTTAGCATAAACCACAACCCAAGCAGCAGCGGCGGCGGTAGCAGGGTCGAAATCTATAATAGCAAACGGCAAACCAACTCGTGCCGACCACGCGATCCGCGACCATGTCCTATGACGTCTCGGTCTCCCATCGCGACCTCCTTGAGCTCGAGGGCCGGCTTCGACTAGAGCTCCGCGATCTGAGCCGCGCGCGGGCCGCCGGCGCCCCGCCCCCAAAGGAGCTCCTCTACGCCGCCCGCGATGCCCTCCACCGGCTGCGCACGCGCTCCCACGACTTCCGTGCGGCCGTCGCGCTGCT